ATTAAATTTCCCATAACCTTGCTACCAAGAATGTGTTCTTATCTTGACTGAAGTGGGCTGTAGTTTCGACCTAGCCCTTACTGGTCTCATCAGCACCCCTAGCGGGACTCGAGCTATGAGTGCCTTTGGGCAACAGAGCAGATGTGAATTTCAAAGAATGCCATGCATTTTCCAAAATCACATTCTTTGGTGGGATAGTCGGTGAAGAAAGTTGTATTTGCTATAGCAATCGACTACATTACTTATATTTCGTTTATTAGTAAGTTTTCTAGACTTTCAATCCTTCGTCACATTAACGAAATAGGGTGAACACATTCCATATATATATATATATATATATATAATTAGAGTACTTAGCTATCAGTCCTTAAATCACCTAGGCGATAGAGGCTAAAGTTGGAGCACTTTTAACTTTTGGGGGACTTTCATTTCGTATGAAAGCGTATGAAGGAGAGATTCGTTGGTTGTTATCACCAAATGAGGACGTATGAATCCCGTTGTAATGCAGCCGTTTGGCCTTTATACTATGTTCAGGTTGACACAGTCCACGAGACTTCCTCCCTCGTTTCGGGTGAAAACGTGCTTAGCTTTCGTCCATCATGCGATGGAGATCATCAGAGCTGGGTGCCATTCCTGTAAAAGTCTTACGTTAACACTAGGGCAAGAAGACTATCCAACTCTACCTTACCTCTCTTATAAAGACTCAATTGAGCCAAAAGAATTTTTGGGCTCAAAATTGAGCTAAAAAGTCTCGGTCAAGGCTTTCACTTGGGTCATTAGGCCTTGATGATCAGAGCCTGACATTAGCCTTTTGACAACTTTGAATTAGGACAGGTATTGCGCTTAGACGCTAACACACACACATATACACACTTACACACTTGAACAAAAGTAGCAGGACCAGTATGAAAGATAATTAGCCAAACCACTATATATCTATCTAGGTTTTTAATTTTCTTTTGGCTTAATTGAGTCTATATAAGAGGTAAGAAAGAGCTGGATAGTCTTCTTGCCTGAGGGTTAACGTGAGACTTTTACAGGAATGACACCTAGTTCTGATGCTGTCTATACTATGATGGACGAAAGCTCAGCCCGTTTTCACCCGAAACGAGAAAGTCTCGTGAACTGCATCAACCTGAATATCGCATAAAAATCAAGCTGTTGCAGTACAACGGGATTCATCCGTCCTCATCTGGTGAAATCAACCAACGAATCACTTCTACATACATTTTCATACGAAATGAAAGTCTCCCCAACAATGTTATCTTAAAGAGATTCATCAAAACTCAGTTTCTCTTCGTATCTACTTTTGATTTTGTTAGAAGAGGCGATTGGAAGGGATTCGTAAGTTGGTCTCATCGGAAACTGTTAAGGGATGGGCTTGGAGTCATGATTGTAGCTTTATGCGAATAGGTTCTCGACTCACCGCACTGTGACCCAGATAAATCCTTGCCGAGCTTTCGTCCGTCATGACGGACATCGTCAGATCAGGACACCATGTTTTACGATAATTCACCAAAAACACCAAGGCAAGAAAGGTGGCCGGCTTACAATCTACCTACTTCTTATATTCCAATTTGGTCCACTAAGACATCTCGTGTTTTGGCTTGATATCCTATGCTTTGCCTAAATGTCTGCTCAAAAGTTACGTTAAGTGGCTGCGGCGTAAATGTGACCGAACAGCTGTATTATCTTGTAAAACACTTATACCTTTAATCATGCAATGTTACGGCATGTCATTGCGTTCCATTGCACGCGTGTTGTTTGAATGCATTGCTCTTGAAATGAGTGTGATGTGAGATCAAACCTAGATTCGGGCATAATCATGCTTTTCCATATTGCTCGGTGTTACTTTTCGTTCCTCCCTATCTCTCCCTCTAACCACATCAAACAGCTACCAGTAGTTTCCACTTAACTTTCTAAACTCATTCCTTCTATTCAGGGTGTTGGCTGTTTTCTTGATTTCTGTCGCCTCCCTAATCTTTCGCTTACTGATTCATATAGTCCCCATATCCAGCTAAGTTGTCGGCATTAGACCAATCTATTTTGTGTCATGTACAAGCCACGCGTTCGGCAAATTCCGATTTTTGTACCCAAAGCCTTTTGCAGGCTGTTTTGTGTTCCGATACCCTATTATGCATGTATCTACAGTCCTCTCCCACAGGCGCTATCGCATGAACACAAAAGCTTGTAACAGCCAGCTCTGGAGAGAGGGTCAGAGTATTCTCAAAACGAAGGCAATACCGAGGAAAGCGTCATTTTCTCTTTATGAATTGTCCTGTAATCTCACTTCCTCAGTGATTCGCCTGTCTTCTTGGGCAGATTACACGATGACAGCACAAGGATTCTGGTAGAGTGGTCTAACTTTTTATCTAGCCCTAAATATGTATTTCCCTCCATCCTATTTGACAATATTCCATAATAATTGTCAATCTGTCCTCATTTATACCTGTTCTCAACCGAAATTATCCTTAGTCTCCTCAATTCCTGGTCCCGATGCTTAATATCTGCCAGACGCAGGTTCCTTATTATCATAGATTTCATACCCCTACTTTAACCCCATAAGTGTGGTTGGAAGAGAAATTCAAAGGTAAACCTGCATTTATTTTTGTTTTCTATACACATCTCTATCAAATCTGGTCCTCTCTTTGTTAACTAGGACATCAGTAAGAGGTAAATCATCTTACTTTTCTAACTCGATGGTGAATTTCCCCTTCCCATCGATTTCGCTCATTGCTGTTTTTCTATGTTGCCAAATAGCATAGTCGTCCATATAGTGAACTAATAATTAAAGTTGGTGGGACTTTCATTTCGTATGAAGGTGCATAAAGAAGAGATTCGTAGGTCGATCTTACCAGGAGAGGACGGGTGGATCACGTTATACTGCAGCCGTTTGGCTTTAATTCGACGTTCAGTTTGACGCAGTCCAGGAGACCTTCTCCCTCGTTTCGGGTGAAAACGAGCTGAGCTTTCGTCCATCATATGATGGACAGCATCAGAGCTGGGTCTCATTCATATAAAAGCCTTACGTTAACACTTGGGCAAGAAGACTATCCGGCTCTATCTTACCCCTTATATATACTCAATTAAACTAAAAAGAAAATTAAAAACCTAGATAGATAGATATAGAATGGTTTGGCTAATTATCTTTCATACTCGCCATGCTACATTTTCTCGAGTGTGTGTGTGTCTTAGCGTGTATACGCAATACCGGTCCTAAATCAGAGTTATCAAAAGTCTAATGTCAGGCTCTGATCATCAAGGCTTAATGACCCAAGAGAAAGCCCTGACCAAGACTGCGTAAGTCCGTAAGCAAGTATGGTTGAGATAATGAGATATGAGCTTGTAAGCATGTAAGTTAAGTTACGAAAGTACTTGTCCTAACTTCTCAGTCTAGGATCATTAACGTTTAAACCCCAGTGGAAAGACATGACTGGGGCTGCGTGATCTGGCACATCTGGTTTGGTTGACAAGTATGAGTGAAGTTAGAACCATCACTGAGCAGACAAGTTGAGTCGCCTACTTATGGATGGCAGCTCAACACCCTCTCTTTCCTTCAATGCATCAATCAAGCATAAATAGTTCATATTCAACTTTCTACCACTATTCTTCACATTTAACGTATTTCCTAAGCTATTAATTTCAGTAGCCTCTCTTTTCTTTCTTTTAACCATGGACGTACCATAATCAGCAAACCTACTAGTTTGAGATCATTCTATTTTATATCCAGTTTATACCATGTGTTCGGCCATTTTGACCGTTGGACCCAGCTTCCTTTACAAGCATTTTTGCGTTCTCCCAATCTTTGTCGAATAGGTCGGCATGTCTTACCAAGATAACATCGACCACATGAGCAAACAATCTTGTAGAAGCCGGATCTCAATAATCGCTCATATTTGTCTCTAAAAGATAGCATAACTGAAGAAAGTGTGACGGTTTCTTTGAACACTGTTTTTATCCCCCACTTTCTTACAAATTCTTTTTTTAAATAAGGCATGACGACAAAATTCGGACATGGAAATTGATCTCAGTCTGTCTATCTTTGACTGAATGGTCTGCGTCTAAAAATGCAATGTAATGAGATGTATTCACCCTATTTCGTGTAAGGTGGTGAACACTGGTAGTAAGAATTTTCCCACAATGATATGAGTTGAGCCGACGTTTCCATTGAATTTCACATAGCCTTGCTTTCCCAAGAGTTATTCTCGTCCAAGTGGACTGCAGTTTCGACCTCGCATTGGTCTTATCAACACCCTCAGCGGGATTCGAACCGCGAAAGTGCAGTACGGTAGGACTGCAGTTTCGACCTCGCATTGGTCTTATCAACACCCTCAGCGGGAGTCGAACCGCGACAGTGCAGGAACAGTTTCGACCTCGCATTGGTCTTATCAACACCCTCAGCGGGAGTCGAACCGCGACAGTGCAGGACGGTAGCTTGAAACAGCAACCACTCGGCTACACTGCCACTAGTACCCTTGACTAACAGGGCATAAGTGAATTTCAAGGAAGGTCAGGCCTCTGCTATATCATATTCTTTGGTGGGAGTGCCAATGAAGCAAACGTATGTTTGTTATAGCAATCGACAACGTTACTTATATTCGAATGTAAGTAGGGTATCAAGACTACCAGTAAATCAGTGTAATGAGATATATAGCAGAGGCCTGACCTTCCTA